TGCCACCTGGCTGATTTTGTAATTGAGTTTACAAAAATAAATAAATAAATAAATAAAAAACATTTCATTGTCCTTGATGATAGTGAGAGATCTGATAAGACCAGTGAGTACCACAATCATGAGCCTACTGCAGCACTTCATTTGCTGTGAGGTGGATTCTTTGATTGGAAGAGATTTTGTGTGGAATAGGATGATAGGTATGATATTCTATAAATGTTGTAATTGAGTTTTCAAAAATAAATAAATAAATAAATAAAAAACATTTCATTGTCCTTGATGATAGTGAGAGATCTGATAAGACCAGTGAGTACCACAATCATGAGCCTACTGCAGCACTTCATTTGCTGTGAGGTGGATTCTTTGATTGGAAGAGATTTTGTGTGGAATAGGATGATAGGTATGATATTCTATAAATCTAACAATGGTAGTTTTGGAAAAAGCATTTATAACCAGGGAAGGCAAATCTGTATATGCGAAAGTGTCTATGCTATCAATAATAAGCACAAAACAGTGCCCTTTCCATGGTAGAAGCAGTTCCGTGGAATCAGATTGCCACTAGGTATCAAATCTGGGACACGGTGTTGATCTCTGCTGCTGGTAGATTTGGCAATCAGTGGTGACTGTAGCCAGGTCATCCTTCATAAGTGGAAGTTCATATTGCTAAATATATGCATAACCTCCATCCATACCACTATGGTCATTTTATTCATGAGCCCATTTAGAAGAAGGCAAGGATGGCTAGGGAAAGGGGCTGACCAGTATCTACAGAATGGTCTATCCCATCTGATTATTAAAATCCTTTTCTGCTAAAGACACACTTTGGAGATCACTAACATCAAACACAAATATCTTCAAATGTTGTTTGTCCATTCAGGAAGGAACACCCCTGTACCTTAACACCAAATTTCCAACATTTTCTGAGTTCCTAACCATCCAGCCAAACCATGGGCCATGACCCATTCATCAGTCTATAATCAAACATCTGGCCATTGTACCTTCTAAACAAAGTGTAGCAAAAATGCGGTGCTAGAAAGTATGCCCATCAGAAATAGTCTTCTTTACCACTGCCCTTCATAGATATGCTGGGAAGAGTACATAGTGTAATAGCTTTCCACTTCCTGATAGAACCCATGTGTCACATAGAATTACCTATAATACAAACCAGTATTGTCTTTCTGTAACTCATACAGGAAACTCACCACAAAGCTATGGGTTACAGGTTGTAAGAGAGAAGGCAGTGTAGCAGAAGTAGGGACAATGGGCATTTGGATTACTTCTTTATATAACTTGCTTGTGCCTTTTGTACCTGTTTTGGCTCATTCGCACATATATACTTCTATTTGATGATGGGATACCATTGCGTGTTTTCATGTGTTAAATCTCTACTAAGGCACAAAAGCAGGACAACAGCTTTTTCTCAAAAGGAGAGTAGCTATCAGTAGAGGATAGCAGATTTATAGTACAAAATCCTCCAAAATCTACACCAAGAATTGCTAACAGGGGCCAACCAAAGGTTTCAAACAGGCTCTCTATCTGTCATTGACACTTTTAACATCATTAGATCTGCTGGATCATATGGCCCACATGGTAGAGCAGCTTGGGCAACACTGTAGACCTTAAAGACCCTTTCTTCATCGGGGTCCTCATCGAAAGATAACAGCTTTTTAGGTCACTGGATAAATGGGCTGAAATAGCACATCCAAATGAGAAATATGCTGCCTCCAAAATCTAAAATGGCTCACTGGGCATGGTATCTTTCTTTCTTTTTTTTTTTTCTTATATGAGAGGACTGATGCAACAAAGTTTTCTCCACTTTAGAGAAAATATGTTGGGGGCAACATGTGGTATAGTGGTTAATGCACTAGACTTACACATAGTTGACTACGCTTTAAATCCTGGACCTGATGGCTTGAAAGTCACGCTGGGTGCATGTGCCCAAAATCTCGAGAGAAAACTAAAGAAGAGACATGGCCCTCCTCCCCGAGGGGTGATTTCTCACTTTCTTTCTGTTTCTATCTCTCTCTCTCGGTGAGCATAGGGAACATATGCACCCTATGGCAAAAACCTTCAAAAGGGAAAAAAAATAGAAAGGATATATCTATATGCCCCACCTACTGAATCCCTAGAAATATCACTGAGGTAAAATTACCTTGAATTTTTGTCAGATTTATTCCCCATTTACTGACATGTAAACAGATTAGACTAGAATAGCTGCTAATTTTTATATGTCCAGATAGCACAATGCCATCAGTGGAATGGATCAGTATGATAATGGGTTGTGGAAAGGAAAGATGATCAACTTCCCTGCAAAGCAAATTATGACTAAGTGTTGGAGAGTTAATATAGTCTTTAGGCAAGACAGTACAGGTATATTACTAGCCTTGTTAGATAAAAGGCAACTTCTTCAGATATGCCTTATTGACATTTATGAAGGAGAAAAAGAGAAATAAAAATATTTGTCAGGTCAATAGCTTGCATAGCCCATGTGAGGAAAGAGATAATTTGCTCAAGCAATGAAACCATGTCTTTTACAACAACTGAAAGTTGAGCTGACACCTGGTTAAACTTAGAATATTCCATTTTCATTCTCCAAGATCCATTTGACTTTTACACAAATGAAGTAGGAAAACTGAATGGAGATGTGGGAATCTCCACACCTGTATCTAGTCCTTGATGGTGGTACAAATCAATGCAATCCCTCCAGGAATGTGGTATTGCTTTGGTTTACCATCTTCCTATATAGAGGCAGCTCTAATGGCATCCACTTGGCCTTTCCCTCTATCCCTCACTCCACAGGTGAGGGAACCAAAGTGGGGAACCTGGCAGTCTCTGAGTATGACTATTCTAATTATGCATTCTGGAACTGGGAAGATAACCACAGGATGGATTTAGAGACCCAGTGGGCCCACTGTGAGATTGATCTTGAGACAAAACTCCATTAACTCCCTGGATTCATGCAGAGAGCTTTCTAAGGTAGCACGACCCTGCTAACACCCTGATTTCAAACTTGAAGCCTAAACAATTGTGAGAAAATAATTTCCTGTTCCTTTAAGCCACCTGATATGTGGCACATTGTTGTGGCAGCCCTGGGAAACAAACAAAATAGAAAGCTGCAATATACTTTACATCAACTATTTCACTCAAATAACATTTTCTTTCGGGAGAACACACACACACATGTGCATAAATATGCATACACACCATAATATGAAATCAGAATCAATGAATTCATACATGACCTTCCTCTCTTTCTCTCTCATTTTTTTCTTTTTCTTTTCCTTTCTTTTTTCTTTTTCATTCTTCCTTTCATTCTTTCCTTCTTTCTTTGCTTTCTCTTTCTTTCTTTCTAATTTGCCAGAGGGGCACATGTGCTTGCCAGGAAGAGAGAGAGATGAGAAAGCACCCCTCATGGGGGATGGTTATACTGCAATCCCTTCTCCTCCATTTCTTCCTCCTTTGGGGATATTAGGCAAGCACACACATGTGCTAGGCATGCTTTTCAAGCCTCTGGGCCAGGGACTCTAACTGTGCAGTTGATCATGTGGAATCTAGCCAACTTTACCACCACACAACAAGTTGGCTTAACCTTCCTATTTCTTACTTCATTTCTTGAAAAATGTAATCATCGTCACAAAAGAGCTGTCAGACTTTCACCTTTTTGGAAAAGACTGAGGAATACAAATGTCTTGTGAATGAAAGTAAATTTTACAAAAAGTAACAGAGAACATGGCCTACAACAACACAATATGAAGTGCTTACAACGTCACCACAACATTCAAAATACAAAGCTGGGCAATCTTTTCTCTTTTTCCTCTCTCTCAAACTGTCTGAGTTTATTATTAAAGTTTGTAATACTGAGAAGTTGGGGTGAGAGGCTGGGGCTGTATTTTTCAAAAGTGTCTGTGACATAAATGACACAGAAAGACCGTGGAATCGTTTTACACTCCAGAAGACTGAATAGATACAAAAGTACAGGTACAATTAGTATACCTGGTCCTAGGTTGGACTTGTACTGGAGGGTTTTTCTTGTTTGTTTTGTTTTGTTTTTTAAAGCTTTAAAGACATTATGTGTTTATTGATCAAACTGGAAAACAACTATCAGATGAGCTATAACTATTGAATCAATGTTAAATGTACTGCTTGTTTATGTACTTTTATATGTGCTAGTTTTTCTTCCTTCTTCTCTTTCTCCCTTCCTTTCTCCTCCTCTCTCTTGTTTCTTGTCAGGAGTTCTTCAAAACTTCACTTGGTTTTAGCTCCCAAACAAATATTGGAAGGGTTTAAATCCTCCTAAAAATATATCTTTAGCAAATCATTATTTGAAGTTTCTTTAAAATTCCATCTATTTTAAATTTATCAAGAGAATGTCTCTCTCATGAAAATTAGGAAGTAAAGGCCCCACAGGTGTGTGTAACTTAATGGATAAAGAATAGATTAGAAAAACGCCAATGGGAAAGACTTTAAGAAGGTGATTTTGGGTGAGGACTAGAGGAAATTCGTTGAACTGATCTTATTTATTCCCATCACTCTGGGCGGAGGGTGGTGCATGTGACCCTATGAGCCAGCTCAGGGCTTGAGCTCAGGGTGAGACTCCTAAACACTCTCCTGTTCCTCCCTGCCTTTCTCCCCTTATCTGCCACACACTCACTTCCTTCCCCGCCCTGTCTCCACGTTGGACACGCCCTTGGCAACACCGCAGAGTACCGTCAGCGTGGCCTCTGTGACCTCACACAGCTGAGCCCGCCGGTCGCCGGTCGCGGGGCCACT